AAAAAAAAAAAAAAAAAAAGCAAACCTACCTACAACAACAATTAATAATAAAATATAAAAATAAAAAACTAGGAATTATATATAATAACCATAATAAAAAAGAAATAATTATTGACATCTAGGGTTCCTTCCCGGGCCTCCATAGTAAAAATAAGTCCCCCATGCATTGTTTTTCCATGCCCTAATATCGTAACAATTTGGATGATCAGCCAACAAATGCAAGTTATTTGGAGGTATTAGGTTATTGTCCCAATCCACAACTTGCAAGTTCCTAAAGTAAGAGGCTTTTCCGAAGCCCTCGTCCGCAAATCGGCCGCTACCCATTTGGGTCGACGTGTGGGTCCCACCCGACCGGGAGTTCACGATCTCGCCGCCAAATTGCACCATGCTCGCGTGGCTTTGTAGGTGGCTAAAGAGGAACGAGGGCCAATACCCGACCAGTAGGCCCGGCCCGAACTCGAGCCACCAGTTCCCGTGCTTCGGGTCCTAAGAGACAATCAATGTATTAAATTAATAATATATGCTTACTTTTTTTATAATTTTTTTTGTATGCAATGTATTAAATTAATAATTTTTTGACGATCTTTTGATTTCAAATCAACATTAATTATAAGACTTTGTTACATGTTCTAATAGTGAAAATAAGGTGTAACTACCATATACTATTTATTTTCTTTAGAATAAATCAAGGAAATGTTGCCCTCCTTTTTCAAGAATTATGAAAATTTCATGGAAAAAAATATGTGTTATTCTCTCTTGTTTTTCAAGAAACAGATGAAATGTCACAGTCATATTATAATAATAAGCTCATTGAGGAAGAAATTAGTGATAATAAACTATAAATCTTAACTTTAATTCTAGAAATTTGAAGAGTCTATAACACATAACAAGGATTAGATTCTCAGCTAATAGAGTTTAAAAAAAATTAATAAACATAAAGAATTAAAGATTATAGTTTGTTTAAAGCCAAAAAGTCTTTATTTGATTTTATTGTTTGTCACATGTACAAACAAGAATAGTTGCATGGCTTAAGATTGATTTAAATATAATTAAGTACATATAATTGTCAAACCTCGTAAATTAATCAAATTAATTTAATCTTGTTGGTACTTAATTATGGCTAATAAAAACAAAATTAAATGAGAAAAAATAGCTTAAACCAATGGTCTTTGGTAAACAAGAGAATCTTACACGTTTTTCTTTTGCTGGGACAGTGAGAAAACTATCGGATGGCTCGATTTATGGAGCCACCATAACTATTTACAAATATTGTATTGACACGTGTCCTACAATAAATACACTTTGGGCAGGTGTCAATATATTAAGTGATCGATGACTCCATAAGAAAACTATCTGATTGCTCCATAGAATTTTTGAGAAAACTATATAGGCTATATAAATAGGAGAAATGCTACGGTCCCATTACGTTTTACCATCCCGTTTGAGTTTGTAACTGTTAGATCAGCTATCCCGATAGTTACATGATGATCTAACGGTTACAATTCCCGTCGGAATTGTTCCGTAAGGGGACTTTAGCATCTCCCTGATAATAATTAACTACTAATTATAGGTTGTTAAATTAGTTAACTAAAAGCGTGTCGGTGGATTTGAGTATCATTTTCTAGTTCATGTACGCTAAAAAATTAGCACAAGGGACCCTAATGTATTAGGAATTTTGACTGAAACCTATAATATATAGTCTCACATTTTACTAATTTAGTCCCCATAACTATCACATTTCACAAATCAACACTTTAAACCCAAAAAATTCATGGCGGTATTAAAAAAAAAAAGAAGTTATAGTTGGATAAACAAAAGTATTTGAGTAATTTTGACTGAGACCAATAGTTTAACTATTTACTAATCCACTCCCCATAATTACGAAAATTTATAAATTGACACCAACACTCAATGAATTTTGACTAAAACCTATATATAGTCTCACTATTTACTAATTCAGTCCCCATAATTACTGAAATTCACAAATCGGCACTTACAAACAAGTAAATTCATGCCACAATTTTTATTTTTTTTTTGTTTTTTATTATCATTGGATCAACAAAAGTATTTGAGGAATTTTGACTGAAAAACCCATAGTTTCACTATTTACTAGTCCACTCCTCATAATTACGGACATTTATAAATTGACCCTAACACTAATCTCATTGAATTTGCCAAAGTCAAGGTGATTTTTTTGTCCATTTGTGATGCAAGAAACTACCAACTTGTAAAAATCCGTAAAATATAGGCATTGACTTGGTCAACTTTAGAACAGAGCCAATATTTCATTGACTTTAAAAAAAAAAAAAAAAATTCACATCTTCTGATACTTATTAGAAAATTAACCAAAAACAGTGACTTGAACTACTAGAAAAATTTCATTACCTTCCATATCATAATGCCAATATCATATTGCCTCGTGTTGTAAGACGACCTTGGAGAAATTGCAGCTCCAATTGCGATTTTGTTGTTGATTTGAACAAAACCCGAACATAGTAGATTATAGCATCCCGTTGCTTGATACGCGTCCGTCTATTAAACGATGCAAAGTATTAGTTAAATTCACATATGTAACTGCATATAATTTGAGAAATTTAGGTAAAAACCATTGATTTATTGATGTAATATAGTACTTACTGTCCAGTATGTGAAAAACCTTGGATAGTTGTCTCCATATAATTCTGGGCTCACCTAAAGAATGTTGAAGATCAGAGCAGTTAGTTTATAATAATAATTCAAGTTACCAAAATAAAACTATCTGAATTTCAAACTGAATAGAGGTGTTTTGGTATATTGAGGCTATGTAGGTAAAATTAGATTATAAACTAGCTGATAGTTGATAAGTTTCGAGTTTATAGCTGATAACTTATGACTTACGGCTGAAAAATTAGTTGATATGATAAAATTGTTTAGTAAAATGAGCCGATAAGCCAGCAAAAATAAAAATTCCAACGAACTTATTTGAAAAGCTACCCAAAGAAGATTATGAGATATGCTATAACTTTTTAAATAAGTTCGTCCTGCCGAATAAAATTTATTTATATACAGAAAGCTTATAAACTAATTAAATAAACTACTAAGATTATCTTATGGTACTTACCAAACACACTCTGCGGAGATTTTACACTTTTGCATTTTCTTATTCATTCCCTTCGATTAACGACACGTGTACATGATGATGACATACTTGTTTAAGTTTCATTCATCCAAATTGAGTAAAATACGAAACAGAACATGAAAGTGGAACAGGAAATCTCATGTGAAGACTTTGAGCTGCAAACGGGCGGAGCTGATCTCAGGCTCGTTGAGTTAACGAGTCTTCACGAGTCGAGGTCGAGCATTAACAATCTACTAACTACGATGAAACTTAAAAAACAAAATATGTAAAAAGTCCCTATTTATCAAGCCTTAACGACCTAAGCCAAACTAAACTCACGAGCAGATCATTTTATTTAACAATTCTGGGTCAGATATTAGAAATGTATCCAGTTTTTGAAGGATCTTTGCATTATTTTTCTCAAGTACTACTTGGGAAGTTAATTAATGGCCCATAAATATAGATCAGTAAAAGTGTAGAAACAAACCTGCCAACCAGCTTCAATTGTGTTGAGATCATTAGCAAAAGAGCCAGAAATGACCCAAAGCTGTGAAAGGCTGAATTCATATTGCTCTGTAACTTGAGGTGCCCACACATTTATGCTTGCTTTTGCTCCATAATATTGCTCTCCATTCACAAATGCTACTGCATGCTGTGTGTGTGTATTTTTGTGTTCCAAATAAAATAAAATAAAATAAAATAAATCCACATATTTTAAGGTCTAATAGTACTTACTAGCCAAAAAAGAACAAATAAATAAATAAATATATTCCAATAATGAAAAATGGCTGAAAGTTGATCTTCTTGTTCACAACAAAACAGACAAAATCAGTTAGCTTTCATATAAGTACAAATATGCACTCTAACATTTTAATGTATAGTGACTACATATCTATGAAGCAAATACTTGTAACAAACTTGTGAAAGACCATTCATTATGCCACCAAAAAAA